GGTAGCCCATCGTTATTTTTAAACATATTCAATATAAAAAGTTAATTTGTTTTTATTTTCTATTGCATAACCCCTCCTTTTTATTCCAACCGGTCCCTTAGTCTTTAAATAAGTATTCTAACTGGAAAAATAAATAAATAAAATGAAACACAAACACAACTGATAAGTGGATGTGTATCCTCCTGCCTCTACAGGGTAGAGATGTGGTCAGAGCCAGGTCTCCATGATAGGAAGCCAGATCAAAGAAAGGCAAAGGGTGCTAAACAAGAGGCCCAAGTCTAGCATAGCCTTGGAGCAATTCAGAGGCCATAGTGTCAGATGGTCCCCGGCTCCTGTGAATCCCCAGGGAGGGAACAAACAAGGTCTCTGAGGAAGGTGTGGGGGGTCAAAGAAGCTTTTTCCCATGAGCATCTCCAGTTTCTGTGGCTAAGCTGGAAGCAGCAGCAGAAGGCACACACACAGGTATCTGAGCACACACTGTGAGGCCAGTCCTTCCTCTGCATGCCAGGCTGATGATGATCTGAGAGAGCTGGGCTGGGGTGACTCCTCTTAACGTCACCTGAGGACTAGGCATCAATTTCTTAGTAATGCAAACAGATTTGGTAACCTCGTTTTTAAAATGCCGCATTAACTTTTCCAACTGTAACGTCATCTAAATCAAATCCATGCATACATCTATCTGTACATGCATAGGCACTTTCAGTGAGTCATCACCAGCGACTACCTGTGGCCCCGTTAGTTGACTCTTAATGGCAGAAGGTATGACTTTAAGACTAGAGATATCATTTTAAAGACCAGAAGTATCAAATTCCAGCATAGGGGGTAAAGTTTTTTGGTGTTTATACCATGGCAAGCCATAGCCGCCCTTATTCTATAGTAAAGTGTTAGCTCTACAGATTTTAACATAAACCCTAGTTTTGAGTCTAGCTTGTGCCACCTCTGACTCAGCTTCACGCTTTACCAAAACCTTTTCAAAGAGTTTTATGTGGCGATTTTACAAGTCATTTTCACACTCAACTGCATTAAGTTTGTTCATGCAATAAATATTTGCCAAAGAGCCACACTGGGGATGTCACAGGTATGCCAAAGATGACAGGGTGAAGAAAACACGGATCCGTGGACAAAAGCCAGTGTCCTGCATGGCACATTTCATGCTATCACCTCCTCCTTTTTAAAATGTTAGAGACCAAACCACTGCAAACGCGAGCCTGGCCATGTATATGGAAAGACCAGGGCTCCCACACTACAGAATCAGCACACTGGCAAATGCCAGGCTGTGAAATGCTTTTCATTCCCTGGGGCATGGATCCACCTAGACCTGACTCCTTATAGACAATCCCTATATTTTTATCCTCTAAAATTAGCCTCAGCATTTTGGTCACACATAGACACATGCAGTATCTTCTGCAGTGGCACTAGATATGAAGGCATCTGGTTCTTTGAAGAAAGGATCACATCACAGATAGACCCACACCTTTCCTGCCCTCCCCTAATCTCCAATGCTAGTCAAGTAATCTCCCAGTGAGCTAGAAGCCAGCCAGCCTTGGAGTTTTGACTCATTATCAGGGTAAGCGTCAAAATATTTAAAAGTGAAAGTTGGCGGGTCCCCTCACATGCAGGTGCACACACAAACATCGGTGCTCTCTATTGTTATCTTAACAGCTGCTGGTCTCGCTACCAGTCAGAGTATGGTAGGGTTGTCAAGATGGCACTGCTAACCCTCCCTGAGCCGAGCCCCACTGTCTGGGCATCTAACATCCTATGGGGAGAGCTTCTTTGGGAGGCCAAGTCCAACGAACACCAAGCCTCCTTCACTCTGTCCTCATCACGTGCGGAAGGCAGTCTGCCCCTTCCTGTCCACAGACTTCCGCTCCTCCATCTCCAGAGCCAGCTTTTGTGCTTTTCATTGTGTGGTGTCGTGGCTTGTTTTCTGGGAAGTCGTTTGACTGGAATCTGCTTCCCATTCATGGTTTCCTTCGGGCTTTCCAGCCAGCATTGGACCACCGAACTGTACCAGGAACATGAGAGCACGGACCGCATCTTCCCACCAGAGGCAGAACGTCACATGACCAGGCTCATGACTGAGCCAGGACCAGGGACCGGTTCTCTGCCTGAGCCCAGCGAACAGTCCTCAGCTGGAAACATCTGTGAGCGCATGAAGACGGAAGTGTGCGCCCCTTCACTGAGAAAACCAAGCAGGGGTTGCTGCAAAAGGCTGAGCAAAAAAACTCATTCCCGCCAAAAGAGAAATCATATGAAGACAACACTCATGCTCTTCAATGTTTGTCAGATCTTGTTACACTTTTGAGAACACACAACAGTGACTGAGAGAGGCTTTCAAATAACAGCCTGCATGTGCGAGGAGGATTCGGTCTCAGCCTTTCAGGCCCTGGTGGGTTCCCTGAGACTGACTACACATGCACCCCGCACCCCCAGCATGGAGAGGGCTGGGGCCAGCTCCTGTAGACACTTTGAGAAGCATGGTCTCTGGGGCCCTGAGGGGCAAACGCCCGAGGTTCACTGCTGGTGACGGCGGCTGTCACTGTGTGGTGGGTAAGCACCGGCTTGTGCTGAGGAAGAGGAGCGCAGGACAAAGGTTTGGGTTCCAACGCTGCACCGTCCAGGCCCTTGCATCGCAGTAAAGGAAGGTGCTAGTGGCTTCTCCAGCCTCGTGCGCGCTTTCTTCAGCCTTGGCTTTTTCCCATTTTCCACATGTGCTCTCTTCCTCTCTGAGCTGCCTCTTTCTCCTTTTTCAATCTTTCTCATCTTGCCCTTCCATTGTTATTCACCCTGTTTATTGCTTCAAGCAACCCTGACATAGTGGACGTCATCTGAAACCACAAACGACAGGATGCAATAAGCTGGAGAATAGCGCAATCTGGGGAAAGTTCTTCATTCACTCTTGCTCCTAACTCTCTGTCTTCTTATCCTACATAGAAAATAAAAAAATCAATACCACCTCACAGGGCTTGATAAAAGCCCTGGCCGAGTACAGCAGGCATGCTGGATATAGTAAATTAAAGTGATCAAAATTTTCCAGTCGACTCTGCCTGTAGCCTACATAAACTAACAACCCTGTCTGCCCAGTGTCCATCAGCTGGAAGCTTTATTTTATCTGGGCCTCTGATTATCTGGGGGAATGAATACATATACCTGCCTGGGCCAGGGAGTCTCAATCTCCGTGGGAGAATAAATGTGGCCATGGATGGGTTGCAGGGGTGAGGTGAAGGGGGAAAGCACCTGTCTTCATAGACAAGCAAATACACTCACAAGCAATATGCAGACAAGAATACCCGTGTGCTGAAGCATAGAGTATAGGGTGAACAACCGGCCCTGGTGCTGGAGCAAAGGGTGTGGGCTTGCCAGACGGTCCCCAGCTCTGATCCCTCATTGGTGGACAATGTTAAGTACCTGGCTCAATGAGCCAAGAGTTTCCACCTTCAAAACAGCAATTACAGTTACAGTTGGAGCAAAGAAAGATGCTGAAAACCTTAGCCTAAGAATGTCAGACCTGTGCGTAACAGCATCTTTGCAAACACAACTGACACAAAGTTACTTTCTTCAGACTTGTGAGCAGTCAAACAGAAAGTGCTTGCACAATGCACGCCATAGAAACTGAAATATTGTTGCTTTCACCTCAGAGGGAGATCATTTTCCATCTAATTAAACAGGCATTCAGGGTGCATATTTCTGATAGACTAAATTATGAAAAAAGTTCCATTTTAACTGCAGCTTTTCGAGTACAACTTACTAATATAGAACAGGCATTTAATTTAGCTTAGAGCAATACTCATATGAGCTTGGCTAAAGCCCACCAGGCTGACTGCAGCAAGAGATGGAACAGCTCTGCTCTCCATAGTGATAGCTGAGAATTCACAGACATCTCCAGCAGAAGCCCCGGTCCTCCCATCAGACCTGTGACCCTTGTTAGTTAACTGACATTTGTCCAGCATTGGAAATGAACTCAAGCTTTCCATCAGCTATCAGAGAAATACAGTAGAAATCGAATCCCAGAGCCAATCAGCATGCCAGACCAGCCATAGAACAGCCAGGGGTGCAATCAGACAGCCAGGGGCCATACACTGACCCCCAGCAAAGCCCATGTGAACACAAACACACTTTCAGGTCAAGACACATCCCAAATTGCCTCTGAGATAAAGAACTAAACTTGAGGGATGGAGAGATAGCTGGTTGTAAAGTGTTTGCCTTGCAAGAATAACAACCAAAGTAGTCACTTTTAATCCCAGCTCTGGGAAAAGAGGGGTAGGAGGGTTCCTGGGACTTGGTGGACATCCAGCCTAGCCTACTTGGCAAGTTCCAGGCTAATGAAAGTCCGGTCTCAAAAAAACAATGCAAACCATGCTGGAGGAATGACACCCAAGACTGTCCTCTGGCCTGCACTTGTGTGAGTGCATACACCCACACACATACAAATGTACACACACACACACACACACACACACACAAAAGCTAAATTCAAGATCTTGCCAACCTCCTCACCTGAGCAACACTGCTCGTGCATTAGGCACTGTACACAATAAGAAGTGTAGCTGTGGCCAGTGGTTTTGAGTGGGTTAGAGGTATTCTGGGGCTAGGAGAAGTGAGCAGGGATAAGACCAGAGCAGGGTTCTTGTCTAGCTCTTCTGCTTTCTGGGGGAGGGGACATTCCCTAAGCCTTGAATTTCTCAGAGGTACATTTGGGGTGATCAAAGTATCAACAAGGTCAGACCACAGGCTGGAGAAAGCCAGAAAGACACTAAAACCTGCACTAAGAAAACAGTAGAGGGAAGGGACATGGTGAACCCTCTTCTTGAGGAGCGTGGCTGCTTCCAGACTCAGATATGCATGCGGAGAAGTGGGGAAAGTAGACCAGACCCTGGGCAAGAGCATGGCTGTCAATGTGGGAGCTTTAAACCACACATACTGTATTCTGAGGATTTTCAAATCCACATCAGCGTAGACAGATGAAGACAACGAAGCCCACACACCCATCGACTCACCTTGACAGTTGTGAGCATACATGGCAGGTGCATGTCACAAGTGTTCCTATAACCCACCGCATCTTCTCAGAGCAATCTCAGTTGAAAATGTCTCCTTTATAACACAACCATATCATCATTGCCCGCTTAAAATTATTCCTATTAATAAACAGAGAGAGGGGAGGGAGGGAGGGAAGGAGGGAGGGAAGGAGGGAGGGAGGGAGGGAGGAAGGGAGGGGGAAGAGAGAGAGAGAAGGGGAGAGAAAGAGAGAGAGAGAGAGAGAGAGAGTTAGTTTTGTACTCCATATGGGATGAGAATTCTACTCTACATCATCTGCTGCTTAAGTCAGCATCCCTAGCCTAGAACTCTCAAAGCAAGCTGGAAGGCTCAGGACCCATATATGACCACGGCTTCGATTAGGAAATAGCCTCGATTTCATCTCCTCGGCCCAGAGCCTTTAAGTTTTTCCTCCCTTCACAGCTATTGACCACAACCTGGGACTCACAGAAATTCCTAAGAAGATGTGACTCTCAGAAATGAACTGAAGCTCAAGTTAGTGCCCTGGATCCCCAGGAGCCACAAGTCCCTCCACACTTTGCCACATCTTTTTACCCAGACCATGCCTCGACACTAGCACCCAGCTTTGGAGACTCCGCTGGAGAGAAGACACACTCTTGATCAGTGATGTCTTCACATATAGCACTGTGACACCAAGCTTCCTCAGCACCTCCCTTCAAGATAGAACTCCCCCAATACTTTTTTCTCTTGCCTTTCGACATCAAAGCCATCGGACACGACGAGGATCCTCCCCAAGTGTCCTCCTACTGACACCAGCTGGCCCGGGATTCAAACCCCATGGGCTGTGAGGTCTGGAAAAAGAGGACGCCTGGCCCATATGGCCAGCAGGCTCCACCCTGATGCCTGGAGACACAGACAGCTGGCTCTTCTTGCAAGACCCAACCTGGTGTCGCCTGAAGACTTGATTAGCTGGCTAGGGAGACAAGCATGCTGAATCAACACTTCCAGGGAGGCCACACAAGGCTTGCATGCCAGGGGAGAAGTGACATCAGCCAGAGAATAAACAGAGAGGAGGCGACCGAGGAAGGGGACTGGCTGAAACACTAAGGCCTGCCTACTTTCCTTTTGCCCCAGAGGCAAGGCACTTTCTCTTACTATTTCTCCGACACACAAACATTCCACCTTCCCCGCTCATTTCTGATTGGTTTGAATGAAGGGATAGAAATGGAGAAGTTCCCCCATGTGATAAAATGCCTGGCAAATGTCAGGATGGAGACAACAGGAGAGTAGCCATTTCCTCCGGGGCCCTGTTTGTAAACTTGCGGTTCGCAGACAACTGTAGGAGACTGAGCCGGGTGCTGGCCATTGACCAGCCCTGAGGAAACAGTCTATGAGCAGGAGACAGGCAGCAGAGCTCTCCCATTCAGAGATTTGGAGAGGGAAATCCAGTCATTCATTTACAGTTTCAGATTTAATAGCCCACACCATTCTTATGTCAAGGGAATTGCCAGAAATTAAAATGATTCCTGAAATCAATGTAGACCCCCCAACATTAAAATTATTTTTAAACATGTTCTCGTTGAGGGAGAATTTCATCGCAAACTACAATTAACAAGGCTGGGGAATGTGGCAGCCGTAACGAGAGAGGCTCATTCACGGTCCTCTGGTTCCCAGCCAGCAGCAAAGAGCCCGGTCTGCTTCCACAAGCCACCAAGTCCCCCATGGGTCTGTTTGAGCCAGCAACTGGGCTGGAAGGCTGTGGCCGCTCTACACCCTCCCTCCCAGCAAACAGCCCACGACAGTCTCTTTTTGGCTCAATCTGTTTCTCCCTCTTGTCTGATATTTTCAAGGGTTTTTAATCACGACTCCAGCAGATTGATCAATGACAGATATGAGCAACAACTTTTGCATGCTAACGGTGCCGGATTTTTTATCTGAGAAAATATTTCTCCCCTAAAAAGCCTCTGCAGGGCTGTGTATTAATTAAAATCTAAATACTAAATATTGATTGATGCGTTATCAGGCCATAGCAGTTGGGTCCTGCCACATTGATTTTTTCCTGTGATTTATTATCATATTTAAGAAAAATCATTTTGTGTGATTATACGAGGAAATAGACTTTAGTGAGGGTGTAATTCTTTTGTATCACTTTTGTTGTGTGGAGGACGGGCCAATTCCTCAATCGGGGCTGAGATTGCTGATACCCTTCGCCGCCTCCTCACTGTGGCCTCGGCAGCTTGTGCGTTAAGCCTGCTTGGTCTTGTCATTAGGAATAATGGCTGCTAGTATTAGGTCCTTAATCACAGCTGAGATTAACAGATGGATGAGCCTAAGTTCTTAAAATTATCTAGTTATTAACAGGTATTTCTTTTTATCACATTAATGACATTGTTGCAGGGGACTTTTCTTCTTTCACATAAGAATTGAAGCAAAACCTGGAACAATGTCTTGGCTGGCCCCATGTGTGACAATTGGTTAATCTTCTCTCTTAGTGCAAATGTCTCCCGGATAGTGGCAAATATCTGGCTATGAGGATAGACAGAGCATCTATAGAGATAGGCCACGGTTGTAAGTTGAGGAACCCACCTGACTTTGCATAAACGACTTGTAGATGATCAACTTGGACCATTTCAGGAAGAAAGGAGGACTGGTTACCACCACTTCCCTTATGCCTCCAAGAATGGGTGGCAGAAGCTGACACTGGTTCCCCTTCTAGATTCTTCTTGGAATAGTAATGAAAACAGGGTCTCTTGCAAGTTGTTATAAGTTTAAATATTCTTCACATTTTATTTTCTTCCCATTTATGTTATATAATATTGAGACATTAAATTTACTTTGTATAATACTGAACGACAGTGTCTTCTCAGTTACCATTTCTTACACACACACACACACACACACACTAAAACAAACATACAGTTGTTTTACTCCCTGTCTATGGGGTATTTGCATAGATGATTCATGTGTGTATGTGTGTGTCTGTATGCATGCATGTTTATGTGTGTATAGTATGAGTATGCTCGTGTTTGTGTGTGCAGGTATGTGAACACATGTGTGAGCATACCTGTGGAGGCCAGAAATTAAAGTCAAGTGCCCTCCTGTATCGATCTCCACCTTAGTTTTGAGACAGGGTCTTCATTGAACCCAGAACTCACAGCAGGCTCAACTGCCTAGCTGGGGAGCTCTGAAGAGCCACCTGGCTCTGCTCACTCCAGTCCTAGTATCCACACCTGGCTCTTACATGGGTGCAAGGGATCAGAACTCAGGTCCTCAGGATTACATAATAGGAATTTTGCCAACTGGACGTTAATGTGACAGGCATTTTGCCAACTGAATGATTTTTAAGGAACTATAAGGCATTTCCACGATAATCCTCTTTCCAGTTCTCCAGGGTATTTTTTCGTGTCTGACCTGCTTTGCACTCAGAGAATGGCAGTGCTCACAGCTGGCACCTCCTCACCCTAAGGGCCATTGCCCTCATCACAGACAAGCCGCTCTGTCCAGCAGAGAACCCTCCCATGTTAGGGCTGTCTTGGGTTACAGTGGGGTTAAGAGAGATGAGCACTTCTTAGGGAGAAAAAAATAGACCACTCCATTACTGCTAAATTGAAATTTTAAAAATCTGTAATTTGGGGAAAGACAAATTAAGAGATATACATAAATGCTCTAATCTTGCATATACTGCTTACTTTACATTATTAATGATCAGTTATCACAGTGGTTTTAAGAAAGTAAAGGAAAGAAGAAAGGGAGATGAGGAGGAAAGAACAGGAGAGGGAGGGAGGAAGGGAAGGAGGGAGGGAAGGAGGGAGGGAGGACTGGAAAGACAGGCAGCTCTGTGATATGAACAGCAGAGGTGGGGTTGCTGGCCACAAGATTGTGCATTTTATGGATGTCCCCCTAAATGAATTCTAAGTTGGGGCTCCTATATCAGACAGAAGGAGAGCCTGAAGCTAAATTTGTGGAAATTATTTTATAGGAAAAACACTAAACTCAGTCCCATCCATAAAACCCTTTCCACTCGTTGCTGTATGAGGTTGAATCATGAATCCATCAACCACAGTTCTGCATTGGTCCTGTAACCCCATGCTCTCCAGTTGACGGTTAGGGGCAGCGGAAAGGCTTCCTCACAATAGAAAGGTGAGAGACTCTTTCAGTGGGCCTCCAACCAGCTCTCACTATTCTAAGACTCTTGACCCAAAAGGGGGTCTTCTAAAATAAAGCACATTTGGCCACTCCAGGCTGTGCAGGCACATGTCAGTCAACTTGTGTACCTTACACTCAGGAAGATCTCATTGCTGAAGTTTCTGGAATCACACTTGGTGATTTCCCCCGAAACTTCTCACTTGGCCTGGGATAAGGACAAGAAGCGCAAATTTGTTCCTATGTTTTGTCCACTACAGTCCAGGGTTGTGACAAATAAATGTCAAGGTAGGTTAGACGTCACGGTGGGAGCTTGGAGGCAAACTGGACCTAGCAGAAGACAGCTGAACCCAGCTGGGAGAGCGGGCTTGGAGCAGAGGAGCCGCTTCTACCCAGCTGCCACACTGCAGGTGTGATGTGATGTGATGTGGTGTGGTATGGTGTGATGTGATGTGGTGTGGTGTGGCGTGGCGTGATGTGATGTGACGTGACATGGCGTGGCGTGGCGTGGTGTGGTGTGAAGACGGGGCTGGAAGGAAGATGACTCAGTGGAGAATGCCTAAAGTGATGCGGCCAGTTCTCACCTCTCCCAAGCCACTCTGCACACACTCCCAACTCTTGCCACCATCTCTGTATACTTCAGGCTTTGCCATGAAGAGTGCCTACTCAGTTCCAGTGTTGTCTGCTCATGTGTGTGGAGAGTCACAGGCCAAGACACCTCTGCCGGTGCTGCCATGCGCTGCCTGTGTTCCAGCCCCTGTGTGCAGAAGTCTCTGCACACACACCTGACAGTCAGAAAGGAGTGAAAGTCGATCTCCATGGAAATGGTTTCACTGAGGATCACCACTCAGGGCTCTGCTCTCCAAAACGCTGGTGCACTCTGGAGAAAGTTCTACCATATCAGTAGTAGTGCTGTCCAGATGGGGAGTTGGCAGTCAGCCTGCCTGAGACCCACTGCTAACCTAAAAGGTCAGAACGCTGAGCAAGAGTTGCAGGG